AGGTCTGAGACTTGAACCATGGTTGGCCATGTGGGAGTCCAGCACCCTTAACCACCACACAAGCTGCTGGCCCCCCAGAGTGTGATTTTCAAGGCACCAGGTCCAGGACTATAATTGCATAGTTGGCCATGAGGGGATCCAGCCACCTAAACCTCTATGCCACCTGTTGGCCCAAAATATCACTAATCATGATTCCCCACCCCCATGTTGGGATTTATTTAAGTAAGCTCATATTATAATAAAGAGTTATCTCTTTCCTTTATCATTGTTCCCACTAAAGCTGTTTTTAGCCTTGCTGTTTTTCTTTTAAAATTTATTTTTAACTCTTTTTTCCCTGTGTGCATATGCACTCATGAACATGTGTGTGAGAGAGAAAAAGAGAAAGAACACCCCTAACTAGGTCTCAATGCCACAATCCCCCTCAGTTTCAGCCAGCCCTGGATCAGGAGCATGTAGGTGCATTAGGAAGTCTCCAGATGCAAGCTTACCATGTGGGTCAGCCTCACAGAACATTTTGTTTTACTGCAGCATCACTGTCTAGCCCAAGTCTCACTGCTATGAATCCAGATGTGTGTGTTCAATACATGTAAGCAAATTCTGGAATATTAGAGCCAAATGATTTTCCAGGGGCTTCATACTGGTGTCCAGCAGCTTACCTGTGCATGTTGAGTAGCACATACTAGGATGATGAGTTTGTCTTTCTCTTCAGTGATTCTAGAAAAACTTCAAACCAAGATCTATAGTACCCAAGGCTTGTGTGCAGAACACACTGACAAGAGGCTATCTCCTTCTTGCTGAAGGTAATACACTCTTCTACTGACCCTGTACTGCAGGGGAGGGTTCTGCTGAAGAGCCAGCTTGCTGCTTCAGGAAGGAGAAATAGCCACTGAAGTGAATTGTCTTGCTTTTTTTTTTGTTTTTAATTAAAGCTTTTTTTTTTTTTTTTTTTTTTTTTTTTTTAAGAATGACTTTAATTCACTTTCTTTATTTTAATTTGACCAGAGAAGGACAGAAAGAGAGAGGGAAAGTGAGAAAGCAAGCCGCCAGGTCTGGAACTCGAACCATAGCCATGTAGGAGTCCGGTGCCCTTAACCACCATGACACCTGCCGGCTCCAAATTGTCTTGCTTTCTTTTTGGAGGGGCAGGTATTTCAAAGAGCAGTTGGCCTTAATTATGTTTGCTTATGATAGGAAAGCTTCCAAGCAAAGTCCAAAGCTCAAAGGGAGGAAATGAAAGCACTGGCAGTTTCCTCTGGCTTGCTGGGCACCTACTGTCTGGCAGGCTGTTCACCATGGCTTTTCTGTATGTGTGGGAGTCCTGCGGGCCACTCAGTCTCCTCCTCTACTATCAGGCTGTGGCCTTCAGCCTCTCGCCCAGAAGTCATTCTCCAGGCCATCTGGAACTAGAGATCAGTTCCAAGTTCCCTTGCCAGAATCCTGCTTTGAAACCTGCCCACTCCCCTTTTCACCTCTAATCTTGATCATTAAAAGCTGATCTCAAGAGATAATGGATACAAAGAGATAATGTATCTACATATTTCAAATTGATAGAGGAATTGGCATTCTTTAATATTCAGAAGTATTATCTTACCCTGGATTCACCAAGTTCAGAGTCTACTTGGATCCACTAGTTCCAGTGTAAACAGATACCAAGGTCAGACACCAAGAACAACCAAGACCGAAACCCGAGTTCAGATGAACTCTCTCTTCTCTCTTCTCTCTTCTATTGTCAATCAGCCTTCAGGTCCTCCTAATTTGCCTTTCCAAATATTTCTGGAATCACTTGCCTTTTCTTCATCCCTAGTCAAGGTCCCTAAACACATAACTCCTTTAACTCAAACTTTACCCTTCACCCAGGGCCATCCACATAAGGCTTTGTCACTTCGTTGTTCTAAGCATTTCAGTGGCTCTTCCTTGCCTCCAATTTTGTAAAGCCCAGGGTATTAAGCACAGCACATGGGCTTTCCATGATCCACCCCATCACCACTTAGCCATTCTCTTGTTCATCAGTGCCTCTCACTTTGTATTCTACTGCTACCCACCACTGATGCTGCCTGCAGTTCACCAAGGTCTTCCACGTCTTTGTGCTGTTGTATCCAATTCCGTTCGCTCCACTTGGAATGCCCTTCCCACTTTAATTTGCCCTATGCCTCCTTTGAGACAGTTCAGGCACATCTCCTCCAGCAAATCTCTGAAACCTCAAAAGGGTTAAATGACCTCCACATCCCTCTCTTATTATTTGCCATGTTAAAATGAAAATGCTGCATTTAAACCTATCATCCTCATTACATTGAAAGATGGTAGAGAACATTTTGTACTAGTTTCATAGTAGGATTTCATAAATATCTGCTAAATAAATGAGTGTTTGATGCTGAACAGAAATAATATTGAATCAATGGGGCCCAACAGTGACATGGCCATAATGTAACACTCTATGAGGCTGGACTCACATGGGAAGGTCCTGGGTTCATGTCCCAAGGCCTCCCTGTGTACACTGTGTCCATCATCTTGGCCATCTAGGGCCGGGAGTGGATTGCAGTGTGAGGACTTTGCTGGGTGTCTATTTCTCTCTCTCATGAAAGAATTGAATAAATAAACTTAAAAAAATGAAATGTTATACAAGAATTAAAAAGTATATCCTATGGGGGCTCTTACTCTAGAGGGGAGCACAGAGGTACTCAGACCTCAGCTCCCAGTACCATGTGGGACTGACAGGAGGGTCCTGAGGCAGTGACATGTTCCAAAGACAACTGTCTTAATGCTGCAGATGGAGCTGGTCATGCCTGGCACTCCAAGAGAAAGAGATGAATTACAATTCTACTCCCAACACTTAATTCTAATGGCTGGCTGACTTGCAATAAAAATCTGCAGATGTCTTACTGCCTCCCGGGAATGAAGGCAGATCTAAGACAAAGAAGTAGCCTAGGCCTGGCTTGCCTCCTGAAATGGCCCAGATCTTCAGAGGTATAAAATCTTTGATCTTTAGGAGCTTGTTCTTGGGAGTGCCCACAGCACCTCAGTGATGAAGCTCAGATGAGTAGGAAAGGCAAAGCATTTTTTTAAAGAATTATTTTATTTAACTTTATTTAAATTTGACCAGAGAGGGACAGCAAGTGAGAGAGATAGAGAGGGAAAGTGAGAAAGCATGCCTTCAGGTCCAGGACTTGAACTGCACTCAGTCATGTGGGAGTCCAGTGCCCATAACCACCATACCACCTGCCAGCCCCACTTTTTATTTTTAAGACAGATTTTTTGTTTGCTTGTTTGTTTATTTTCTTTTTAAAAATTATCATTATTATTATTTACATTTCATACATTTGACTGCTACATATCAGTTGGCTTGGAAAGATAATTTACCCAACATGAAATATACCTCACATGAGTCCAGTTGAGAATACTATAATTTGATGAGAGAGAGAGAAAGCCACCAGGTCCAAGACTTGAACCACAGTTGGCCATGTGGGAGTGCCCAGCACTTTAACCACTACACCACCTGCTGGTCCCTCTCCAGACAGAGAGACATTGATCCACCTGTCTGTTTTTGTGCCAATAGCATGCTGTTTTGATAATCACAGCTTTATAGTATATTTTAGGGGCAGGGAGTAAGATGCAGCCCACTCCACTCTTGTTGCACAGGATTAATTAGGCAATATGGGGTCTTTTATGATTCTAGACAAATTCTATGATTGTCTTTTCTAGATCTGTGAAGAATGTCTCTGGTAATTTGATTGGAATTGCATTAAATATGTAGATTACTTTGGGTAGAACTGCCATACTGATTATATTAATTCTTTCAATCCAGGAACATGGGATGTCTATTCACTCTTTGTGTCTTTCTCAATATCTTTTTTCTTTTTGGAGAGGTTTTTGCTATAGGGTGCATGTGCTCGCCAGACAGACAGAGACAGAGAGAGACAGAGAGACAGAAAGCGAGAAATCACCTCCCAGGGGGGATGGCCACACCGCAGTCCCTTCTCCTGTTCTCCTCTCGGGATCTTGGGCATGCACGCACACGTGCCTGGCATGAGTTTTAAGCCACGGGGTCCAGGACATGAACCGCGGTCGACTACATGGGAGTCCAGCGACATAGCCATTATGCTAACTGCTGGTCCCTCTCAATATCTTTTTAAAGATTTTCATAGTTTTTCTTGTAAAGGTCTTTGACTTCCTTGATTAGGTTTATCCCTAGATATCTCAAATATTTTGTGGCTATGGTAAGAATTTCTTTCTTCAGTTCTACCTCTGTCATCTTGTTGTTTGTATACAGAAATGCTACAGAGTTTTGGGTTTTGATTTTGTATCCTGCTGCTTTATTGTAGTCATTTACTTTGAGAAGTTTTTTCATGGATATATTTGGGTCTTCTATGTATACCATTATGTCATTGGCAAGTAAAGATATTTTCAACTCTTCTTTCCCCCTTCTTTTCCTATTTGAATGCCTTTTATTTCATTCTCTTGTCTAATTGCATTGGCTAGGACTTCCAGTATTATATTAAAAAGGAGTGGAGAAAATGGGCAGCCATGTCTTGTACTGGTTTTTTCCCCATTCAGTATAATATTAGCTATAGGCTTTTCATATATATGGCTTTTATTGTACTGAAAAATGACTCTTCTATGCCAACTTTGCTAAGAGTCATAATCATGAAGGCATGTGGTCTAAGCATTTGTCTAATGCTTTTTCTGCATTGATTAAAATGATCATATTGTTTTATCTTTTTTTCTGCTAATATGGTGTATTATGTTTATGGTCTTGCATATGTTGAACACCCTTGCATCCCTGGAATAAAGCCTATCTGGTTGTGATGAATAATCTTTTTTATATGTTGTTCGATATAATTGGCAAATATCTTCTTGAGAATTTTTTCATCTATATTAATCAGAGATATTGGTCTGTAGTTTTCCTTTTTTGTCATGTCTGTTTCGGGAATGAGGATGATGGAGACTTCATAATATGAATTTGGGTAGTTTCCCTCCTTTTGGATCTTCAGAAATAATTTGAGAAAAATATGGAATGCTTCATGAATTTGCATGTTATCTTTGTTCAGGGGCCCTGCTAATCATTTCTACGTCATTCCAGTTTTAGTATATGTGCTGCCGAAACAAGCATTTAAGAGAGATTTTTTGCTATAGGGCACATGCACTCACCACAGAGACAGAGAGACAGAAAGCAAGAAATCACACACCAGAGGGGATAACCATGCTACAACTCCTTTTCCTCCATTCTCCTCTCAGGATTTTGGGCATGCATACACATATCTGGCATGAGTTTTAAGACGCTGGGTCTGGGACTCAAACTACAGTTGACTATATGGGAATCCAGCAACATAACCATTATGCCATCTGCTGGTCCAAAGGCAAAGCGTTTTTAACACTTTAATGATAACACTGTCATTGTTATTTTGTAGCACTATTTGAAAATTGTGGCGTTTACTGTACTTGCGAGTTGGCTTTTAGATATATGAAAATTGCTTTTTTGTTTTGTTTTGGCTTTTTCGTTATTTTCCATAGGGTGTATGCACTTGCTAAAGAGAGACAGGGAATGTGAGAAATCACCCCCTGGGGGCATGGCCATACCATAATCTCTTCTCCTCCATTATCCTCTTGGAATTTGTGGCACACGTATGCAAGAGCTCAGCATGATTTTCAAGCTACCAGGTCTGGGACTTGAACTGTGGGCAGCCATGTGGAATCTAGCTCCTTAACCACCATGCCACCTGCTGGCCCCTTGTGAATTGTTTTGTAATAAAAAAAATTACATTTATATATTGTTTGTTCCTATAAACACTCCTTAAGACTCTCAGAGGCCCAGAACATGGTGGTGCAGGGTGACACAGAAAGTTGAGGAAGCAGCTGTAGCCTGAGCTCAGTAGAACTGGGTATCCAAAGAGCAGGACTGAACTCGGTGAGGGTGGGGTCTGGTGTGGCTTTGAAGGTGCAGACAGCTACCCTGGAGGGAGAACGCTACTCATAAACCTTTTAAAGACTTGCCTGGATGATAGTGGCAAGACAATTAAACAGCAGTGGATAGACATGACCTAATTTACTGGCCTTAGTTGCCTAACGAGCTGGTGCCATACCGTAACCTACAACTAAGAACAAGTTTTGGTGGGAGGAAGAGGAGCATTGCTGAGAACGGGAGAGAAACTGATGTCTTTAAGGAGGAAGAAGCACCAGGAAGCAGACTAGGGAAAGCAGGAGGTGTGTGGGGGTATATACTATTCATGGAGAAGGCCATTGTCAGAATCCCCCTACCTGTGCCCTTTCTATTCTGATCAGTGAAACATCTAACAGCCACGACTTGGGGGATTCCCGCAAGCAGGACTCTCACTTGGCCCCTAATGATCCTGAAGGGGAGTTTCAAAGTACAAGCTCAAGTGCAAATGCAGTAACTGGTGCAAAGGAGTGGAATTCAGAAATGAATGTGACAAGTGAGGTCAATGACCCAAGTGCCCAAGCAGCCAGGATGGGGTCCTTTAGGGCACAATAGACTTACTTGGAAGAGTTTAAAAATATCCTTGCCAATCTGGCACAGAACTATTACGTCAGAAAGTCTTGGCCTAATTGGCATCAGTAGTTTTTAGAGTTCCCCAGTGGATGTAATTTCATCCAGGGTTGAGACTCTCTGTTATAGCAGAGCCTGTGGCCTATCATCGCAGATGCCAGGTAGACATATCATTCATAAGCTTTAGTGCACAGGTGGGCACTCAGCAAGGAGAAACAGAGTGAGCACAGAGAAAACAAGACTTCAACTGAGACTGTAACTGAGAGTCAAAGTGACTTTATGTTGTGCTTAGTCTTAGAGTCCATTTTAATAGCTAGAACTTTGGAAAATCTGTCTTTAACTTCCCTTGCACCTCCCTCACAATGAGTCTTACAGACTAACCTTTTTTTTTTTTTTTTTTTTTTCCACAATAGATGGAGCTAATGCTTAACTAATGAAAGTTAACAATAACTTCTACAGGTGCAGGGCTATGAAGACAGGCAGGAGAAAAGAGCCACCAGTTCCCTTTTCCATGACCACCTAAGAAGATTTTATCAGTATAAACCTTGCAAAACCATACTTAGACCTTCGTTGCTTCTAAACCAGAATCTCTTAGGTTATTGGGAAAGTCATTATGAATTTTTCCATGAAAAAATGTGGTCATGACTTTCCTGATGACCCAGTAAGTTGCCTTGACTTATTCCACTTTGCTTCTGCTGCCTTGTTAACAACTGCTTATTTTTAAGCCCCTTGAAAAGAACTGAAACTGGTGATTCCTCTCTGTATGTCCAGAGATAAATTGCCCCCACAAACAGTGATCTCCCACCTGATGCTATCAGGTCTCTTTGAAATCCTGCCTGAAGACAATGGTCAGGCCACCTCCTCATTCTGCCCCAAGACAATGAATAACTTGCCTTTTGTTTCTTGCTTTTTAAAACATTTTGCACCACGTGTGTTTTTTAAGCTGCCAGGTCTGAGTCCAGGACTTGAACTGTAAAGTAGGCCATGTGGGATCTGGCTGCCTTAACCACCAGGCCGTGAAGCCAGCCCACGTGCCCTCTGTTTCTAGATGTACACAGATTTCTCTCCCTATGTAAGTTTTGCATCTTGACTAATACAGCAGAGATGATTTCTTGCTTTTTTCAGTTCCCTTGCAGCTAAGGGTGGCCATCTGATCTGATTCTGGTCAATGAGACATAAAGGGAAATCTGCTGGGAGAGCAGCTGGGAAACCTGTTACTTCTAAGATAATGGGAAGTTCCACACCAGGGTGTATACTCAAAAGATGCGGTTGTCTTTATTCTTTCCTCTTTCTTTCTGCCTTGAACATGGATGTGATGTCTAGAGCAGTTGCAGCCATGTCTAGCATTGGAGACACTATCCTGACACCCGTAAACTATTAAACCAGCTAGCAACTACCAGATACCTTGTTTTATCAGGAAAATTTACCCTTGGGGCCAGCAGGTGGCATGGTGGTTAATGTTATTGGACTCCCACATGGCCAACTGTGGTTCACCTCCCGGACCTGGTGGCTTGCTTTCTCACTTTCCCTCTCTCTCTCTGTCTGTCTCTCTATGGTCAAGTTTAAATAAATAAAAAAAGAAAAGAAAAGAAAAATTTATCCTCAATTTGTTAAAGCCATGATTAGATCTGTTATTTGTGACAAGAAGAATTCTAGATACAGAACCTGATATACAAATGGGCAAGATAGGAAGAGATGATTTGTAAAGTAAGAAATATAAATGGTAAACATATGAAAAAAGTTTAATTCCATGATATCCACAACATTAGAATTAAGTAAAACATAAGAATTATTTTTCATACAAGGTTGGAAAAGATATAATAATAAAAGCAATAATAACAATAACCACATCATACTGTGCTGGGAAGGGTAGTATAAAACAGGAGCCTTGGGAACCAGCAGTTAGTGTAATGGCTATGTCGCTGGATTCCTACGTAGTCGACCGCGGTTCGCATCCCGGACCTGGTGGCTTAAAACTCACGCCGGGTGTGTGTGCGTGCGTGCCCAAGATCCCGAGAGGAGAATGGAGGAGAAGGGATTGCGGCATGACCATCCCCTCTGGGGGGGTGATTTCTCACTTTCTGTCTCTATGTCTCTCTCTGTCTGGCGAGTGCATGCGCCCTGTAGCAAAAACCTCTCCAAAAAAAAAAAAAAAAGGAGCCTTCCTATGTTACCAGTCAAGGTGCAATTTTGTAGAACATTTTTGCAAAGGAATTTAGTAAAATGTAACAAAAATTTAGAAAATATTTATATTACTTAAGCTAGTTGTTCTGCCTTTTGGAACTCACCCTAAAGACAATTTAAACTGAGTCAAGGATGGTAGCGCAAGGGTTTGCTACAGTGTTCTTTAGCATACGATAAGAAACAAATAGAACTAAAAAAAATTATCATTGCTGAAATATTGCAAAGGTTAACTAAATTATTAAATATATAAAATAGAATAGTGTGCTTCCACAGAAATGATGACCACTCTTAGTCATGTATATGTATATTTATATATAGTTTGTTTGTTTGTTTTAGGTTTTTGCCATAGGGTGCTCACTGGAAAGAGAGAGACAGTGAGAGGGAAAGCAAGAAATGACTCTGCGGAGAGGATAGCCATGCTGCAATCCATTTTCCTCTATTTTCTCAGGATTTGGGGCATAAACACACACTTACCTGGTGTGAGTTTCGAGGCACCACATCCAGAATTCAGACCACAGTCATGTGGAAGTTCAGTGCCTTTACACCTTGTCACCTGCTGGCTGCTGAGTCTTATTTAAAGAGATTATATTATGATGATATTATGATGTTACATAGATAACAAATCAACTCTACACAGTATGCCCATACTATGTTAAAAGTGAATGTAGGGGGACCAGCAGTTAGTGTAATGGCTATATCGTTGGACTCCCATATAGTTGACCGCGGTTCGAGTCCTGGACCTGGTGGCTTAAACTCACAACGAACGTGTGTGTGTGCGTGCCCAGGATCCCAAGAGGAGAATGGAGGAGAAGGGATTGCGGCGTGGCCATCTCCCCTGGGGGGTGATTTCTCGCTTTCTATCTCTGTCTCTCTCCGTCTTTCTGGTGAGTACGCGTGCCCTATAGCAAAAACTTCTCAAAAAAAAAAAAAAAAAAGGAAAGTAGGGGAAAGAAAGAGTTTGGCAATTCCTCAAATAGTTACACCTAGGGCCAGCTCCAAAGTGCATTGGTTAAGCACTGGTGAGGAGCCAGATCCCACATGGATGACAATGTTTGAATCCTGACTCCAGTGGCTTGAAAAACATACCAGGTGCATGTAAATGCATATCTCATGTCCAAAATCCTGATAGGAAGGAGAAATAGAGGAGAAGGGATTGTAGTATGACCACACCCTATTGAGAGGCACTTTCTTGGGACCAGCAGTTAGCATAATGGCTATGTCGCTGGACTCCCAGGTTGTCGACCACGATTCACGTCCCGGACCCAGTGGCCTAAAACTCACGCCGGGCGCGTATGCATGCGTGCCCAAGATCCCAAGAGGAGAATGGAGGAGAGAGGATTGCGGGGTGGCCATCCCCCTGGAGGGGGTGATTTCTCGCTTTCTGTCTCTCTGTCTCTCTCTGTCTGGCGAACGCACACGCC